AATGACCAACATTCAGCACCATAAAGCATTGCAGGTCTCACTACCATCTTATAGAATTTTCCTTTAAGTTTGAGAGCGACTTTTCTATTAAGTATAAATAGTTTTCTTTTTCATTTGTTGAGGAATGGTCGTCTGTCTATTGTACACAACAAAAAAGAGGGGAGAGTTTATAGTGGAGAGTGAATGTGCTTAAGGGAGGTCACTCTGGGAAGCATCCGTTGTTTGGAATTTCTTTTACACGCTTATTTGAGTGATATTTTCTCCGCCTATTATCCTATAAATTTTCATATTGTTTATAATGGAATCTATTTTGTGGAAAATCATATTTATGGCTGGCTTATACCCCCCTTATTTTGGGCTTATGATATAAATGAAGCATATTATTTTCTTATGTAGATTCTTGTACATTAAATATTTTATTTTTGTTCTCAATCTCTTTCGATCTTAATTTAATCATGCAATGGTCATGTTTGAATTTAAAACCTTGTATGATTCATTGACTTGATGGAGGAATGATGGGACAAATAGGATGATTCGAATATAAAACTTTCATATCTAGACATAGGATACATAGGTTTTTAGGGTCTATGGAGAAAAAAAATCACTGTAGTGAGATGAAAGTCATACTTTACACCCTTACAAGCTTAATAGAGATCTAAGGGTGCATATGCTCTAATTCATAACAAACATAGATATATCTTGCTAGGAATACACTGTAACATTCATTATCATAATTCCAAAACTTATTTTATTTTGGTTACGTTAACTTTATAACACTTGCAGTAGTTTGTAGAACACCACCTTCATATTGATTCAATATGATAACTTTGTTGCTTGAGTAGACAGTAATAGGGCCATTCATAAGATACATTTGTCATTGTGAGATTGGTACTTGTCTTATTCACCTCATTACTTGATCGACGCGTGCACTTGCATAGAATCAATTTATTCCCATCAGAAGGAAACTGATAAGCTGGGGAGCCCTACAACCAGGAAGGGGGAGCTGTTTAGGAAGGTTCGTAATAAAGAGAGTTGATTAGGAAAGTTTCTAATTAAGAGAAATTATTAAGGAAAGTTCCTAATTAAGGGAAATTATTACGGAATGTTCCTAATCAAGGGGGGAGTTGTTTTTGTCTATGCTAGTTATGAAGTATTTAATTGTTTAGGAAGGTTTCCTAATTTATGTTTAATTGATTAGGAAGGTTAAAAATGCTTCCTGAATCATGCTTAATTATTTAGGAATGTTTCCTAAATTATGTTTATGTTGATTAGGAATGTTCTATATATTTAGATAGGTTTTTTAAATTATGTTTATGTTGATTATGAAGGTTCTAATTGTGTTATGATATTCTATGGCTATTTGAGGGGGAGTTTGTCTATGGTTCAGGAGGAGATTGCTTAGTTTATTTTGCTAGTATTTGTTGTGAGTTCCTAGCGGTGTCTAGGGTTTATGGGAGAGCTGATCTATCTCTCAAATTGTAGTTCAATTGTATTGCTTTATTATTGAAGGCGAAATAAGAAAATCAGCCCTATCATTGTGTTGCTACGTTGTTTTTCTCTTTTATTTGCTGTTTTTACTTTCAAAGCATATCAAATTGGTATTAGAACACTTTTTTTGGGACCTATGGAAACAAAGAAGATGGAGGGGTTGGGAAGTATGATGGAGCAAATCAAGACTAAGGTGGAGAAGAAATTCTCAACCATAGAAGGAAGATTTTCATCATTTTTCTCATTGTGATGTCTTGAAATGCACAATGATTATAAAAAAATATTGCTTTACTGTTATGGTTTTTAGTAATTTTATGAATTGATAGAAGATTTATTATAAGATGAGAATATATAATACATTACTAAGAATAAATATGGGGAAAATCAAATCATTTCTTGACTTGAAACAGTTGTTAGAAAACTATTGTCTACTTTTACTTATTAATTGCTAATGCATTGTTTGTAGGTTTAGAAAATGTTGGCAAAATGGGTCATGGTCTGTGGCTTCTAAATCTAAGATCCAAGTTGGAGAGAAACTATTTAAGACATTAAAAATACATGAGTTACCTGTCAGACCATTTTGAGCAAGGGAGTATAATCGGAATGACATTTCCAAAGAGTTGAGGAAGTTCTTATGTTTGTCGATCTTTTTTATATTGAGCCCTTCTGTCTTGATATGGTAGGCTGCCCTTTTTAGTGACCATTATTTACACCATAGCTTGGAGGCTTTTTGCGGAGTTCGCAGGATTTTTCTTTGATGAGTCTTTTTGTTTTGTAATTGCATCATAGATTACTTTTTGGAAAAAGGCTTTTAATTTTTTTATAAGGAAAAAGTATAGCTTTGAGTGTGTTATTGGGGGTTCAGTGATTGTCAAGATAGATATTTTGGAAATTGGAGTGTGGAGCATTATCGTTCTTCTGGCTTCTTTAGCTCTTATGAGAGGAAAAAAAAATCATTTAATGATGATAGACTTTCTCTTCGTAAGATTTGAATATGAACTTGATGTAAGCCATTAATGACTATTGTAAGGAATTTAAAAACTCTTTATCTTTCTACAAATTACTTGATAATTACTATATCATCTTAGCATGTCATTTTGAGTTCTTCTTATAATCTAGTTCAATTTAATAAATCTCTATTGCAATAACCAAAAATTAGGTGTGTCAAAACAGGTTGATCGGTCGGGTTCGGGTTTGACTTGAACCTGACCCCACCCTAGTCTAGTCAACTCGAAACCGACCTTTTTAATAAATTGGTCAAAAACTTCAATTTGAACCAAATCCGCTAACAATCTAAATGACTCGAACCCGACTTGTTAATCCATTTTGATTAATTTTTTTATTACTTAAGATTTCTTTTAATAACTTATTAACTATAAAGTTTGAAATATTTGATTAAAAACAAGAAGATTATATCTATTAGTAAAAAATTTAAGAAAATAAACATTAAATAGGTCATTTTGGGATAACAATGGGTGGCATGTCAACCTGAACTCAACTCTTTTATTAAACAAGTTAAACCTGAACATGATTTTTTCTAATCGAGTTAGCGTGTCGAGCTATGATGCACCGACACTTCTCCTCAAAAAGGCGTGCAGTGTCTGACACCGTATTCAACACGACACCCCTCCGACACGTGTCGGACACGCCGAAAATGTGTCCGATTAAAAAATATTAAATACAAATTGGACACGTGTGTCCGACACCCATATCTTAAATATTTTATGAATTTTTTTAAATATAATTTCTGGTATTTGACTGGATTTAAACTAAATTTCTTATTTCCTATCCACAACACCAAATCAACGTCCGCACTTAATACCAATCATCGAATATTCTCATTTTCATTTTTTTTGGCATTGAAGGCATTTTCATCTCGTCTCTCGGTGACTGATAAATGACATCGACGTCTGACTCTCGACATCCCAATACTCATTATTTTAAGCACAAATTCTTGTTAAATAACTTATTATTTTTAAATTATTTTTAAATTATACTTATTTAATTTTTATACAATATTTTTTAAATATAAAAACTATAATACCGTGTCCAACCCGTATCCGTATTCTATATTTTCGATAACTGATGTGTCCCATGTCCGTGTCGTGTCATGTCCGTGACGCCGTGTCCGTGTCTGTGCATCATAGGTGTCGAGTCATTTTTTGACACCTTAACATAAATGCTACCTGGCTTGGTTGTTAAAATCTTATTTTTAATCTTATAGATACGGACTACTTTTTTATTTTTAAGTATATTATTTGATGGTGTTTCAAATATATTTTGCGGTAGAGGAAATATTCATTTTCAAATTTCATAAAAAACTTAGGCGAGATTTAAATTATTTTTTTGGTTTAAATTGTACCTAATTTCTAATTTGCATCAAAGGAGACTATGGCTAACCTAAAAGTTAAAAAATGGCAAATTATGTTTTTATAGTATGTTTTGGGTCTCATCGTAAGTTTTCCCTAAACCTATTCTATCCTGCATCACTAGTATTATCTACAGTGAACCAGGTGTTAGCCTAGCAGTTTATACCAAGCTCCCAACCATGAGATATTTTGTTCGATCCCTACTTCGCACAATATTCCTTGTTACCAGAAGAATGTCAAGCATACATTTCCATTTGACTCTTGAATTATAGGTTTTTTTCGCTTAAATAACTTCTATTTAAATCTTGTAATCGTTTTTGTGCCCTTTTATAAAATATATAGGATAGGTTTCTATCTTTAAAAAAAACAAAAAAAAAAATAGTATTATCTTTTGTAACAGGACACCGCTCTAGCATTAGGTCATGAGCAGATGAGCTAAAAGGAATAGAGGGAGATGACAATTTTTCAAAGCATATCGAAATCAAAGCCCACAGCCTCCAATAAAAAATCAGAGCTCAATTAAAGGCCCATTAGCCCATACTCCAAACTAAGCAAATCCGCTAAGACCATGGCTTAATTTAGAACTCAAATAACAAGCAACGGTGAACAAAACAGACCCATGAGGACAATCAAATTAGAGAATTCAACCACACCAACACTAATATTAGAAAGCATAACTTGTTCTCTATAGGATCATCATCATAAGTGTACTTAGACCAAAATAAACTAATAATAGAAATCAGAAAATTATGATATAAAATGTAACTAAAGTAAAATCAAAGTTTGGAATGTCAATTTTTATCAGTTTACTTATTTTATTATTTTTTGTTCCATACTGAAGTTTTGGTTCATGTGTAATTCTAAATGTGCTATATAACCAATTCTTCTATATCTATATACTTCAGTTATAGAGGAGAAACAACATTTATGCAGTGCCTTATTCAAAATCTTTAGCAGCTATGCCATTCATTGAGGATTAAGATTCAAATATTGTACTGGATGCTGCCAATTTAGTTTTGGACTGTTGGTCCTTTAAAATTGTATGATGCGGTTGACGGTAGCAGATTTTACTATTGAGAACTGTGTGCTAGTTTAAATATACTTCATGAAGATAATTTTTAAGTATTGTTGTTGACTTTCCAGGTTTTGGGGGAGGCCTATCAAGTACTTAGCGATCCTTCACAGCGCCAAGCTTATGATGCTCTTGGGAAATCAGGCATATCAACGTAGGGTTAAACATTTTCTCTGTGTTTTCATAACTAAAGAATTCAATGCTTGAGAAGTTTGAGAGATGTGTTCACACTTGCCATCACCATCCTTCGTAGAAGAGAATTTTTTTTGAATATTTCTATTTGTTTAGTGGTTTTAATGTGTTAACCATGTTTAGATTCTCTTTTATAAAAGCCAATTTTTATGTTCGATATCAATGTAACTAGAACAAGTCTTGAAATGGTTAACAGTATGTTGATGTTACATTTTTCTATTGAAACACGTGGCTTGCTAATTCTTGTATTCATCACAGAGAATCTATTATCGACCCTGCTGCAATCTTTGCAATGCTTTTTGGGAGTGAACTTTTTGAAGAGTACATCGGTCAGTTAGCAATGGCTTCAATGGCTTCACTTGACATATTTACTGAAGGGGAGCAAATAGATGCTAGAAAACTGCAAGAGAAAATGCGGGTATGGTTTGCACTTTTTCTTCTTCATTTAGACATTTCAATATTAAAGGGAGTTTATCTGGAAGGTTGTTGACAGAATAAAAATAGAAATAAAAAGAAATTAAAAAAAAGAGATTTTTTTTAACAGGTGCACTATTTCAAATAATAATTGGACGGAAGCATCACTTCAGAAGGAACGTGATCGTTCGATTAACACAAAATATAGCCAAACAAGACGGAAAAAAAATCTTAGGCTCATTTTAGTTTTAGTTTCAGTCCTGTCTATTTCTTACTCTCGTTCATCTTTCTTTTGCTCCTGTTTGCATGAAGCTCGGTTAGCTTCATTCATTTCGCAATCTCCGGCCCTAGCTACCCACCTGTCTCGCTTGATCCGATCACGGAATCCAACTCTACTCGTAGTACTAGGCAACCTAGTCGTACCTTTGCCTCCATCTGAATTATCTATGTCAGTGCGAACTCAAGCGGCTGCCTCAACCTGTTCGTCCCACCTCTATCTATGTTCGACCCCAACACATGCGAAAGCCCGTGCCCGTCTACATTCATCCCAACGCGCTTGTGCGACCTCCACTCCCGCATTTGTGCGTCTAGCATGCTGCCTACTTATTTCAATCTATAGAGAGCCTGCATGACTCTACCCGTGTTGCTGTCTCCCTGCCTCCGTTCATAGCACGTTCTCACCTGTGCACGATCCAATCGCTTGCTATTTGGTGAATATACAAGGATTTGTTTGCCTGCTTCCGGTCGATTGCTCTCTTGCCTCCTATTTAACTGCTCGTGAGTTAATAGACAAGTCTTTGTAATTAAAAAAAATCTTAAATCAACATAAATATAAAATTGTAACACAATAGGTGTCACCAATTTCAAAACCTACACCATAATATCTTTGATCAAACCAGGTTTTTTATTTGAAGACCCGTGTTATTATATCTTTGATCCTAGCGGGATTATTTTTAACATGAAGACCCCACGTAATTGTATCTTTAATCCTTACAGGATGATTTTAAATTTGAAGACCTCACGCCTTTGTATCTTTGATCCCGACGAAAAGAATAACGACAAGTGCTATCCCCTACCTCCCTTCGAGGGGTGGGGAAGCCGGGTTGTTGCCATATTTTCAAGGAAAATGAAACGGAACATTTTTTATTAATTAAATAAAAAAATAAGGAGAGCAATTTTGTTGGCTCCGAAAATTCAGCCCCGGCCTCCCCGCCGCCTTTTTTTTTCCCTTCTTTTTATTTGAGCGAGGGAGTTTTAACGGAATAAGTTCCGGGGTAAATTTTGGAAGACAGATGGGTTTATAGATAAGACACTGCCCAGAGATTTCGCCCTCATTTTACAAGGACTTTATGATCTGAGTTCTGGTTTCCTATAGGCGCAAGTCCCTATAGTTAATTACCCCTCTCGATCACGAGAGAGAACTTTCGTTTAAGGCTAGTCGTCAATCAGATACGTAGAAATACGTGTTATATGGCATATAGTAGCAGCAATGGGTATTGGTATTGAGGATTGAAAGATTTGATATTTAAATAGAAATTGCACCATCTTGCACTTAAAGCGGATGGTGGGGGAATGGATGATAGACCCAATCAAGATCCCATGGTTCCGTCTTCCTGGGCCATCGTGGTCCCTGGTCTACTTAGTAAGATGAGGTAGTCGACCCAACCTGACAGAAGGATCCTTGTCGGCAGCCATGGGTTGCTTCGTCCAAGGGTACCTTGTAGACCTGGGATGA